ATCCTACAGTGCTACACCAGGAGGACATAATTGTAACAATTAATAAAACTAGAAGCTTAAAAAAAAAAAAAAAAAAAGATGGAAGGAACGCGAGAGTAACAGTACCAAAAAAGAAATAGTCGATGTTTAAACATTTTAAGAGATAGCATATGATCAAGAGCCATTGGTACTGAAGGAAGAAGTCCAAGGTGCACTGACGGCATTGGCAAAGAACAAGACTCTGGGAACTGATGCAATTTAAATTGAAATCCTTCAACTGATGCAGCACTGGAGACACTTACCTATGCCAAGAAGTTTGGAAGACAGTTACCTGACCAACTGATTGGAAGACATCCATATTTGTGCCCATTCCAAAAGAGGTGACACAATGGAATGCAGAATGATCGAACAGTATCATTGATATCATATGCAAGTATAAGTTTGCTAAGTTCAAAAATGGCTGCACCCACACATTAACAGGAAACTACCAGAGGTTCAAGTTGGATTCAGAGGATATGGAATGAGGGATATCATTGCTGATGTCAGATGTGTCTTGGCTTAAAGCAGTGAATACCAGAAAGATGTTTACCTGTGCTTTTCTGATTATGCAAAGGTTTTGGACTGTGTGGATCATGAAAAAGTATGGACATTGAGGAGAATGAACATTCCAGAACATTTCATCGTGCTCATGAGGAACCTGTACATGGACCAACAGGCAATCGTTTGAGCAGAGCAAGGGGACAGTGATAGTTTAAAATCAGGAAAGATGTGTACCAAGGTTGTATTCTTTCACCATATTCGATCTGTATGCTGAGCAAATAATCCCAAAAACTGGATTATATGAAGAACTTGGATTGGAGAAAGTGTCATTAACAACCTGCAATATGCAGATGATACAACCTTGCTTGCTGGAAGTGAAGAGGGTTCAAAATACTGGCGAAGGTCAAAGACTACAGCCTTCAGTATGGTTTTTAACTTAATGTGGAAAAAACAAAAATCCTTACAACTGGACCAATAAATAACATGATAGATGGAGAAAAGATTCAAGTTTTCAAAGACTTCATTTTGCATGGAAACAAAACAGCAGTCAAGAAATTAAACAACATATTGCATTAGGCAAATCTGCTGCATAAGACCTCTTTAAAGTGTTGGAAAGATACCAGTTTGAGGACTAAGGTGCGCCGGACCCAAGTCACAGTATTTTCAATAGCCTCATATGCACGTCAAAGTTGGACAGTGAAAAAGGAAGACCATAGTATTGATGCACTTAAGTTATGTGTCGGAGAAGATTAAAAGTACCATAGGTTGCTAGAACAAATCAATCTGTGTTGGACAAAGTACAGCCAGAATGCTCCTTAGAAGCCAATAGGGCAAGACTTTGTCTCTCATACCTTGGACATATCAGCAGGGGCCAGTCCCTGGAGAAGGGAATTCTTGGTAAAGTGGAGGGTCAGCAAAAAAGAGGAAGACCCTAAATTAGATGGATTGGCACAGTGGCAGCAGTGGGCTAAAGCATAATGATTGTTAAGGATGGCACATGACTAGGTAGTGCTTCGTTCTGTTATGCATAAGGTTGGAACTTACTTGATGGCACCTAACAACAACATATGCTTATTTCTAATGAGACCACACAGTATTGAACTACCGACTTTGTGGTTTCATGGTAGGTGTGGTTTCACACAGTTAAGTGTGGTCTCATTTTTGTAAGTTGATTTCACTTAGCATGTTTTCTACGTTCATCTGCCAGGACTACATTTCTAGGCCACATTTCATTGTATTCATCGGCTAATGGGCATTTTGGTTGTTTCCAGCCTTTGGTTATCATGAAAAACAATGCAATGAAGATTGATGTACAAGTTTGTTGTGTTCCTGTTTTCACTTCTTCTGGGTATGTTTGTGGCTGTTAAGTGCAACTGAGTTAGTTTCGACTCATGTTGTTGTTAGATGCTATTGAGTCAGTACTGACTTGTAGCGACTCTACGCACAACAGAACGAAACACTGCCTGGTCCTGGACTAACCTCACAATCATTGCTCTGCCTGAGCCCATCACTGCTGCCAGTGTTATTCATATTGTTGGAGGTCTTCTGACTCATAGACTCCCTGTATAGGGTTTCTGAGGAGTGGCTGGTGGATTGAATCACCAACCTTGTGATTCACAGTCCAGTGCTTACCTTACCAACAGCAATTTCTTTTAGGATCAGTATGAGGCTAGACTCTATGAGATGGAAGTTAAAGACACCCTAAATGTCTGTCATCTCTAAAGTGCTCCTCCACAATCCCTGTTGTCAATCACTACTCCTCCCCTCAGTATTCTCACCCATGTACCAGAGTTCCGTAATTTGCTGCGGTGTCTCACAGAACTTATGCATCATCAAGGAAATGTCTCACACAGCTGCGGAGGCAGGCAAGTCCCCAATCCATAGTTCAGTTAGCCTGGAGGATTCTTCTCTCTTGTGCCAAATTGGCCTGTTGACTCACAGGCTGTGGAAGCAGGTGAGTCAACTCAGGCCTCTGGCTCAAGTCCTAGGACCCAGAGGTCAGGTGAGCTCAGCGTTAGTCAAAGGAGTGCACCCACTCACATCAGCAGGATGGCTCGTTTCAGACCTAGTGGGAAGGCAAAACTGACCAAATCCCTCAGTAAACTTCCAAGTTTTAACAATCACAATTAACTCTGTTAACAGTCACTCACAAGTGAGCTATATAATCCACCAGCATCTTCCCCCACCTTCTCTTATGCAGACCCATTGGAAGAAATCATTTGGAGCCAGTTCCAGACACATGGCTAGAAATGACAGGTTAAATTCACTGCACTGCAGGGTGTATGCCTAGGGTTGACTCTGCTGGATCACATGGCAATTCTATTTCAACTTTTTGAGGAACTTCCAAACTCTTCTCCATAGGGTCTGTACTATTCCCACCAGCAATGAAAGACATTCTAGATTCTCCACATCCTCCCAATACCTGTATTGGTGTTTTTTTTTTTTAAAGTTAACATTGGCATCGTAATGGGGGTGAGGTGGTATTTCATTGTGATTTTAGTTTGCATCTCCTCAGTGGTTAAGGGTATTGAGTATCTTTCCATATGCTTGTTGGACAATTGTATACATTCTTTGGTGAGATGTCTGTTCATGTCTTTGGCCCGCTTTTTGATTGGGTACTTGTATTTTTGTTACTAAGTTGTAGAGATTTTTTACATTTGGATATTAGACCCTCATCAGATATAATGGTCCCTGAAGTTTTTCTCTCAATCCATAGGTTGTCTCTTCACTTTGTTGATAAAGTTCTTTGATGAACAAACATTATGAGGATCCATTCACCTATTCTGTTCCACTACTGTGTTGTTGTCATAAGAAAACACTGACCAAAGGAGTCAGAAATGATAACCTTACTCCTTTAACACATTATTTTCATGGTTTCTTCCCTCACTGATTTAGACTTACAACTTAGCATCTATTCTTTTCATGTAACATTATCTCAAACAATAGCAAGAGTACAGTTATGATCAGAGGGAAACAGGGGAATTTGACACGTACGCACATTTTTTCAGGGAATTTGCCTGGGACTACCCAAAGACTTCTGGGTGATAGAAGCAAGGAGGTTCAGGTATTGGGTGCAGGGAGGGAAGTATTAGCTCTAGAAATCTCTCCAGGCCAGAGGCCTGGGATTGGCTAAGCCAGGCTGTGTGAAAAACCCACCCCTACCCGATTTTTCCAGGTAGAAGGTGCCCAGACTGCTCTACAGAAACAGAGGAAAAGGACTTCGGGACTGAAGGATGGCATCTAAGGTTTAAATTTTAATTGGATCCTTTCTCAGCTCTGCCTTCTCCAGGTTTCTCTTAACTGCCAGACTGAAAGAAATGCTTGAAGCCCAGGACCAACCAAGAGAACTTGGCAAAGAATGGCCAACAAAGTCCTCTTCTCAAATGGGCTGCCTGGCACTCCACCGGGGGGCACTGTGGGTCCATATGAGACCTTTCCTCCAGGGGAAATACTAGTCACAGGTGCAAAGTCTTTCATCCAGAGCCGCTACCCTTACTTAACTCCTTTAACCCCCAGGACTTTGCTCTAGTGGTCTCAGCTGTGCCAGCAGTTCTCTGGGATATTAAGAGCTGAAAATCGGCGGGGGTGTGCTGGTGCTGATGGAAGCTGTTTGTACCATTGGGAAATGACCAGGGCTTCTGAGGAAGGACTAAGTTCTTCAAACTCAACACTTAACCATAGTGCCTAGACCGCCAAATCTGTGCAGTAGTTAAACAATGGTTGCATCAAATTCAAGCAACAGAAACCCAAAGGAAAAACGCTCCAGAGGAGTGAAACAGTGCAAGTATGCTTTGTTGTTGGTAAATGCCGTTGAGTCGGTTCCAACCCTTAGCGACCCTGTACAGGGTTTCCGAGGAGCTGTTGGTGAACTTGAACCGCCAACCTTGCAGTTCAAATGGCTTTACAGTCTGGTGCATTAACTCACAGCTCCACACCAGGACTCTGTAAGCACACATGGGGGAGGGGTATTCTGGAGCTTCTGCCCTGCCCAGAACTCCTTCAGGCCCCTCCCTCTTCTTCCAGACCCAGTTCTAATGCTGAGGGGAAGTGGCACAGCTGAGGAGGGGGCGTGTGTATGTGGACTAGACTTGGGAGGTGGGAGACAAATCACAAAATTGGCCAGCACAGACTAAGGGTTTCATTCCCAGTCTTCAACTTAGCAGATCCCAGGAGGAGCAGACTCTGGTCCAACCTGGCTGTATCCAGCTGAGCCTTTTTACTTTCAAGAGCAGAAGATCAGTCTTGGCTTTTCCCTTACCCCAGGGTTACTCCAGTAATCTACGTTTGTAATAGAAAAACGGCACATCACTCTTTATTGGACGCCAGCCCCAGCCCCAGCCCCAGCCCCCTTCTCCTCAGGCACAGGGGCACGTGGGCAGGGGGTTCCATCCCCCAGCCGGGAAGCAGTGGAAGCCTGGCCAGCCTGGTCCCACTACTGTCTCCTAGGGCCAGCACCCTCCGTGGTACCTAGGGCTGTTTGCTCACATCTGTTCAAAGTCCTGTTCACAGTAGCCTGTGTTCAGGGGCTGGGCTTGAACACCTCGCCTGTGAAAGGACATAAAGACACAGGATGAGTTAGCTACCCAGGAGAGGGTCACAGGAAGCAACACTCTCTCCACAAGAGTCTCCCCTGTTCCTGTTTCAGGGGATCACTAGCTCCCACTGTACAACAAAATTACTTGGGAACTTTACTTTCAGAGATTAGGGCCAAGCGTTGGCAAGAATCTGCATTTTGAACAGGTAGCTGGGGAGCTTTGGACCCAGGAACTTTGGGGGATGCCTACCCATTTCTATCCTGCCTGTCTCTGAACCCTAGCCTCTTTAGAAGAGAGAGTGCCCACGGAGCCTCCTCTCCTGGCTGGAAAACACTATAAATGCAGTGGTGTGGGGGACTGAGGAACTGTGCAATCCGTGCACTGGGCGTGGGCGAGAAATCCTGTCCTGTATTTAGGTTTCTGCCTCCCAAGTTCAAAGTCTTGACCAGTCTCTTTAGGTGTGCCTCCTTTATTATACAAATAAGCCATATGCTGATGATGATAAGGAAGGACACCTCAAGGTCACCTGGTGAATTTTGTACAGTGAGACCTATACCCCACAACACTTGACTCTCCATGGGAACACTGTACTAGGCTGTGCCTCCCAGGTCCTCAAGACAAGAAATGAGTGAATCAGGGAAACGCTCCTCTTCCGAAGGCTCATCCCCAGTGGAGGCACTGGTGTCATGAAAGCTCATGAGAGCCTAGCCCAGGGTGAAGAGCACCCACTCTGAGTGATCCTCAACAAGTTACTTTACTTTCTCAGTGCCTCAGCTGCCCTCCTTTAAAATGAGGGTAAAACAGTTACCTACCTAAGAGCCGTGATGCAGACTGAATGAGTTAATGCTTGTAAGGGGGTTAGCACAGTGCTTGCCACAGACTAGACGCTCTATTATTGTGCGTGGCTCCCAAGGACCTGCCTGCCCCACCCACCCTGGGAAGGCCCATGTCTGCTTACCTCAGCAGCTCACATCGGAACTTTGTCAACCGTTTGAAGGCAAATTCCAAGTCGGTTATTTGGCTGTTGCTCCACAGCCTCTCGGCAACAGCCCCTGCTCTGGGCCTGGAGGAAGGGGGCACACAGCCGACTGGACCTGTATTCCTTGCAGGGGTGCTAGACAGCCAGACTACAGCCCTCATTTAGGCCTCCTGGACCAGCTCAAGGCCAAGGGATCTGATCAGCACCCTGCTCAAAGCTACAATTGGAGGGCCCTGAGTTCTAGGGCCCAATTCCATCTTCATTGAAATGTGGACAGTGATCCCATCCTCCCTCTTCCCAAAGATCTGGGCAGTCTTAGAGGCCCTGGAAACTGTTACTAGCAGCAGCAGGTGTTCTGAGACGGAAACGGTATATACCCAACCAGGCTCGGTGAGGCTGCAGCCTCTCTGCTGTGGAGGAAAGTCTTATGAGAGCATTCTTGGATCTTGGGCAAGTCACCTGTCCTCTAAGCCTCATTTGTCTCAGTCTTACACACCTACTGGGCTGCTGGACAGTCTACGTGTAAGCTGGGTGGGCAGTGAAAATTACACACAAGCAAAGGCTACTGCAATGCCCCTTCTCGCTCAGCCTGAAAGGAGGTTAGCGTCTGGAAGGGGCTGGGCAGGAATGAGTCTGTAAGGGAAAACCCCTGCCCACCAGCCCAGCCTTCCACTGCCCTCACAAAACTCTCACCAGAGCCTGGGGACCAGGTTTGTGCTGTCCACATACTCGCCCCACATGCAGGCCTCTCCACCAATCACCTGAGCCTTCTGCTCAGGGCTACCTGAGGGGAGACAAGCAACATCAGGCTGTTAGCCGCTCAGGCACTTTCCTGGTGCAGCCTTCTCCCTAGGTCAAGTTGTTTCATCTCCTAAACTGCCCCCTGCCTCCCACCTGTGCCCAGCCCAGTCTCCTGTGGTCAGTAAGGTGAGGCCCACGTTGCTACCGTCAAATGCCAGGGGCTCCACCATGTAGAATGTCTTCCAGTCGGGGCCATAACTTATGCGATTCAGGTACCAGGGGGCAGAGAGCAGGGCCCGGAAGCCAGCTTGGGTGACCAGTTCCAGCTCCTTCAAATAGCTTACTGGTGCCTCTTCCCGCCATACTTGTATGATCGTGTCTGAGCGAACCTGTCACGGAAGATCAAACAGGGGTATCGTCATAGGTGGCTGAGGAAATGCTTGGGTCTCTCTTATGCAGGTAACCCAGGGTGAAGGTGTCTGCTCCTCCTGCTCCCCAGCAGCAATGGGTCTTCATGACTCCACACCACTGGAGCTCCCCACCCAGAGCAGACGACCTGGATTTCAGAGGCCCGAGGAGTGGCCAAACCCTCCCGCTCCCTCCCCACCTCTGTCCAGAGGGAGATGGTATCACTGGCTGTGAGATGAGGGAGACAAGCAGTGGGGCCCAGGGATTCATCAGGAGCTAGTCTATTCAAGAGTCTCTGGAAGTTTCTGGGGATGGGACCAGGTTTCTGCAGTGGTTCTGCAGATGGCAGGAGGCTGAGATCTTGCTGATCAACAACGAAGGAGAAGGAATATGTATTCCTGCAAACCTAGAAGACTCTGGTCTATGACTCTGGGTGCAAAACCCAGCCCAACATGCCAGTCTGTGGGATCCCGAGGGTTCTAGCTGTAGCAATCACTCTTGGTTCATTTGCACAGTGAAGACAGATGGAAGCTGGGTCACAGAAACCAGGGCTCAGATCTATGTGTCCTTTGTACAAAGGGTGGGAGAGGTGGCCCCAAGTGTTCTGACCGTTATAATTGAATCCAAACCAGGAGGACTAGTCCCTGCGGGGGCAGGGAAGGGCTGAGATGACCACGGAGGCACTGCTGGTGGCTCCTGTTCTCCTGTTCCCGCTCACCTTTACTTTATTATCAAACACCTCCTGCCACACCACGTAGCCCTTGCTATAGGCAGAGACGATGTTCAGCAGCCTGGAGAGGAGGGAGTGGGAAGGAAGGGTCTGCTCAGTTCGGACAGTCCCTGGGCTCTCTGTATTAGTACTGGAGGTGTTGAGCCTCGTTGCGGGCTTATTCCTGCCTGACTGAGCAGTCCTTTCCAGGGTTTAGAACTGACTACTCTTAAGTCTGAAAGGTTGAGACAAAGGACGCTTTCAGGGCTCACAGAATAGTCAAACAGGGCTTGGCCCCAGGATGGAAAATAAGGACTCCCCAAGCCAGCGGATACTCGCCTCCTCTCCAAAGTACCCCACCCACCCATCTTCCTTCCTCACATCTGGATGTAGAAGGACTCCAGCTGCTTGAAGTCGTCACCAAAACCTTTCTTCTTCATAAAGGCCTGGACATCTGGATTGGACTTCCTGAATCCCAAGAGAAAATAGACATTCATTCTTTAAACAGCTGTAAAGCTCAAAGCGTGGGGATTAGTTACCTGGCCTCCTACAACTTCCCTTTTTCACGTGACAAAATCAGGTATGGCCTCTGTGCAGATGACAGAGGAAAGACCCCAGAGCTGAGCAATCTGGACTGAGACACACTGCTGTGTCAAAGAGTCATCCCAGAGAAGCAACTGACAAAGGTCACTCCTCAGGCGCTAGCCTCTCTTCTGAGCTAGCAATTCATCAGACAAGGTGGAAGATCGAAGGGCTCATACCAGCAGGAGAAATCAACCTCATCTCCTCCAAGGTGCAGATAAAAATCCGGGAAGACAGAGCTGACCTCCAGGAAGAATGAGCTCATGAACTCATAGGTACTGTTGAGAATGGGATTCACTGGTCCAAAGGTACCAGAGGGTTCAGAGCCCGAGTAGCAAGGAGTCAATAATTCAGGGACACCTAAGTCAATAGAGAGTTCCACATCAGTGTCACAAAGGCACAAACACCTCAGGGCGTAAGTCACACAACTGTGTTCATGAACATTATGCACACCCAGGCCCTCACAGACCCTTGTAGTCACCACCATTTAGTCACAGAGATGCAGCCACATATGCAGTGAGTCACTCAGTCAGAGGCTGGGCTCCCGCCATGTACACTTCTGTCCTGACACAAGGCTTCCAGTAGGAGCGCCCTTATCCCGAAGGCCTTGCTCCTCATAGAACCTTTAAGCAGAAGAGCAAACTCTTTCTTCCCTAACTCCTCCCGTACTGGGTCACCCATCCACCAGGTCTGTCTATGTTCCTGAAGAGGCATCTCTCTTAGTCAGGAGTCTTTCTCTCCTGAGACTGAAGTCACAAGACTGCTGCACTTTTCTATAAAGTTCACAATGTCCTTCAAAATTCCTTTAACCAGTTCTGGGGTTCAGTTGGGGGAGTTGCAGGGACAGGCTGGGTGTATACGGAAGAGGTGAGTGAGCAGGAGTAAAGATTCCAACTCACACTACACTTCTTCCTTGGAGAGTCTACTCGGGGGGTCAGATTCCTCTACATTCCCTCCAGGGCACAACAGCCTGCCCGGGTGTCAGTAAGACAATGACATCTGACAAGAACTTGCCAGGGCTTTGAACCGCTTCAGCCCAGTTAAGTCATAGCTAAAGAAGCGACTCTGGAACCATCAGAATTTTTAAAAATTGGGTGAACTGGAGCAATAATAGAAACAAGAAAACTGATGGTCGCAGCCCTGATAGAAACACAGTGTTTCTCATTAGGCAGCATATGTGTTGCATAGTAATCAAATGTCTTGTCCACAGAGTGGGAAGCAGCGGTGCCCAGCCCTAGGAGGCTGTGGCTGACCACGCGGCTGCAAAGGCGTCACTCTACACTGTTTCACCAATATTTCAGAGCTTCCACCTGGGTATCGTTCCTGCTCACCCAAGTCGGTAATATTTGGGTTTCTTCTGGTTTCAATTTGTCAGCCAAGATTTAACTGGATGAACTGTTTTTGAAGTCCTGAATTTTGTCCACATTTTATTAGTTAACAGTGGCCTATTTCACCCAAAGAAAGTTCTTTTTGTTCAAATTTCCGGATGGAAAAAGTTGAGGGAAACATTCTCCCAGGGATTAAGGCCAGGATATGCCACATCCAGGAGCTTATACACTGAAGCCCCACTGAGGGGACCAACACTCTCTCTATCCGAGACATTATTCTTACCTGCACCCCAAGACAAAGTGTGGCCTGGAGTGTCAAACTCTGGCACCACACGGATACCGCGGAGGCGTGCGTACTCAATCACCTCCTTCACATCCTGCATGGTGTAGATGTGGGTGGCAGGGTTGTAGGAGCCCTGAAAGACACAACACCCCTCAGGCTCTCATTTCCTAAGGGCTAGCAGAAAAGAGGCTATTCAAAATGCTCCCAGGACTTCCTCTTGTTGGTAAGTGCCTTTGAGTCGGTTTGGGCTCATCGTGACCTTGTACAGGATTTCTGAGGAGCAGATAGTATTTGAACAGCTGATCTTGTGGTTCGAAATCTGTGCTGATCCTACAGCACCACATCTGGAGTCCCAGGACTCCCTGTTGTTGTTAAGTACCATGGCATCGGTTCCAACTCATAGTGACCCTGCACAGGGTTTCCAAGGCTGCAAATCTTTATGGGAGCAGAAACATCTTTCTCCTGTGGAAGAGCTGCCAACTGCTGATTTGTAACCACTATGCTACCAGAGCTCCCTATCAGAGACTGTCTTCAAGAACTTTAACATAATTTTCCACAAGATATATCACATCTTTTGTTGATATCTGAGCGTTATGATGCCACTGAGATTAACAAGGTCAACATTATACCCATTTCACAGAATATAAATAGATAAAAGGAGAGGGAGACAAGGAGAATTATCCACTGAAGGTCTCAGAGCAAATTCTTGACCAGGTTTAGTCATGAACTCAAGTCTCCTGACTGCAAATACAGGGCCCTCCCCCAGTGTCAGTGTGTCTGCCTAAAACGAGTTAGGAGGAGGGCACTGCCCTTGCTAGAAGGGCTGCAGTCAGGCTCAGACATCACACCATCTCTGGGCAGAATACAAACGTACCTTTCTGGCGAGCTCAGGAAAAGTGATGCTGTCGTATGGAAAGGATGAGTCGTCTACCAGATGCCAGTGGAACACATTGAACTTATTGTACGCCATGACATCCTGTAGGTCAGAGCACACATGGGGAACCTATCATGGCACCGCCAGTTCCAACCTCAAACTTTTGAGAAGCACTGGGCAGGATGTCGGGTACTCTGCATACCCCCCAATTAAGTATGGGCAGGGTCTCCTCATCACACCTGCCCATGAAGGAGGGCCTGCCATGCACAGAAGGTAGCACCTTCCTTTTCCCAGGGCACATCCGAAGATGAAGGTGAAAAGGTTATCACTTTTTTTGAGATGTGTTCTAGCCACGTTGAGAGGAAGGCTGCAGTCTTCCAAAAGCCCTTAAACAGCCTACAGACGAATGCTGATTCCTGTCATTTGTGTTCGGTGTATGACTAGTGTTGATGCAAACTGTGAGGTCTGCTGCGGACTGACAGCCCCGGAACTCAGGCATCTCAGAAACCAAGGCTGGTGGATGTGTTGGCTCCTTTGGCTGCACCAAGGAGCAAAAGAAAAGGCAGACCCATGGGGTGAGCTGGCAATCGTCAGATAAGACAGTACATCCAACACAAGGTAGTAAGGAACTTCTCCAGTTCAAATTTTTGATGATCTGTTCCATGAGTTTATCCTAACTAAAGGAAAGTAAGCTTGGCCTGATGACAGAAGTCAGTTCCCCAAACCACTTTCTGTATCCCTGGAGATGGCATGAGTATTGGTCCACAGTCATCAGTGGCATACATTTAAGTGAGTCTTGGAACAGAGATATTCTCCAGGAGCTTACAACTGAAGGTATTCTACTTCTAACTCTCTAGGAATATGGTACCTAGTCTGTTCTTTACTCCACTTCCCCAGAACTCAAGAGGCCAAGAAGGCCTTAGGGGCCACATACCAGGGTATCCAGGATACTGGACAGTGGCAGGTAATGGCGAGACGTATCCAACAGCAAGCCCCGGTGAGGGAAACGGGGAAAATCCACGATGTCGGTCTTGTTGATAAAGAACTGTGGAGAACAAGTATGAAACATGTCAGATTTCAAATGGAACTTGCTACAGGAGTAGAGACGGGAAAGAGAAAAACACTCCCAAGTTTTCTGAAAAACCACCCTTACATCAAGGATCAGAAGCAGACACTCGCCAGAGAGCAACTGCCCATACCAGTCAAATACAACGATCTGACGCATAAACCACTCAACCGCCCAATCCTAGTTCCTCTTGTTACCAAAGCAGTGTGTTGTTGTTAAGTGCTGTCAAGTCAATTCTGACTCACAGTGACCCTGTATAGGATTTCCGAGGAGTGGCTGGTAAGGTTTGAGGTGCCGACCTTTCAGTTCAAACTGACTTTGCAGTCCAGTATAGCAGTCCAGCTCCATACCAGGGCTCTCCAAAGCAGTGTGGTGGTGGTGGTGGTGGTGGTGGTGGTTATGTGCTGTGGAGTCGGTTCCGACTCATAGCGACCCTGCTACATAGGGTTTCCAAGGCTGTAAGTCTTTATGGGAGCAGAAAGCCTCATTTTTCTCCCGCAGAATGACTGGTAGTTTAAAACTGCTGACCTTGAGGTTAGTAACTCACAATGCTACCAGAGCTCCTTTCAAAGCAGATAGTGACTCAGGGGAGGAAATGATACTATCTACCAATAGGCCAAATCTAGCAAATTCGCTCTCCTCCTGGATCTTCTCCTAGATTCTTGACTGGGTCAGCTCAAGCCACCCTGTCTAAGACCTCACAAGCTCTTTTCAGGACCCTCCACACTGGGAGTGACCCCTCAAGACACTGCAAAGGAGCTCTTTCTGAGGGCCCACTCTCACCGTGCCATCAGCAGATCTCCAAATGAGCTGGCTGAAAGTCTCCAAACCTGCGGGGAAGTAGAGAGGCAGAGTAAAGGCTCCAGGGAGGTGTTGAAGGAGACACTTACATCTGGAAGGTTCCCAGTGTAGCAGAGCACAATGTCTGGCATACAGTCAAAGCGAATCATCTAGACTTGATGATTTTTAATAATGAACGAAAAGGGAATACAAGGAAGCCAGCATCCAGTCATCTGTGTTTATTTCAGAGGTAGCACAGTGAAGGGTTTTAGTGACCCTCCTTGAAGCATACGCCTTTAAAACTCAGCTCCCTTTTATCTAAGCCTTGAACTCACAGAACAGTTCGGGGAGAGACCAGGCTGTGTGCAGTGAGGGCCAAGCCTGTAAGGAAGGGGTAATGGCTTTCCATGAATAACCCCCGTCAGGAGCCAACGACGTGGAGCAAAGAGGTCTCCAATCTGTTGGCCCTTCAATTCTCCCAGACAGAATTGTGGGCAAGAGATCAAAGGCCTGAGTTTCCAAGGAGCTTAGGTTCACAGTTGGACCTAGAGGAAAGCAAACTTCCACTATTCCTCTTCAGACACTGGGAAGAGTCCCAGCCATAGGAGCAACAACTGCCCCAGAGCAAGTGGCCAGTCCACTGGACACAGAATCTTCTAGATTCTAGTAAGGCCAAGGGCAAGTGTGTTCAGTCCAGAATGTTCCATGTTCTCAGCAGCTGAGGCCTTATTACTGCAAATCCAGCAGAAGCTCCTGCAAGGATTCCTGGCATCCCAAATTTCCAGAATGAAAGAATTCATGAGTCCTTAGTTGTCATTCAGCATGGAATTTGAGGAAGACTGATAGTACTGGTGGCTTCTCCCTCCCCTTGAGGCTCTGAGGCCCAGCATTCTGAGTTCTAGGTTTCCCCTAATGACACCTAACCGATGATCAGAACCTGTGCAGAGGTACAACAGGGCAGAAAGGGCAGCCAGCATGCCGTCTTCCTTCACAGGGAAGGCGGAGCAGGGGCCAGAGGAAAAAGACAGACTAAAACAAGGTTTGTAATTCTGTGAGAATTATTCTCATCACTCACCAGCAGAGGGACTACCAAAAGTAGTAACAGTACTTGGTTAAATCTTTCTTTAAGGACCAAATACTTTTTCAGTAAGCCAAGAGGTAGGGCAGGGGTCTGCTTTTTCTCCAGAAACAATTCAATGTATCATATTAAAGAACCCTGGTGGTGCTGTGGATTAAGCGTTGGCTGCTAACCACAAGGTCAGCGGTTCAAACGCACCAGCCACTCCGTGGGAGAAAGATGAGGCTGTCTGCTCCCATAAAGTTCTATAGGTTTAGTCTAGAAACCCTGTGCAGGGTTGTTATGAGTCTAACTGATCATATAGCAGTGGGCTGGGTTTGGTTATCATATTACTACTGACCTTTTACTATTTGTTTGTGACATTCATCTATTTCTTTTGATATAGTTTTCCTTTATAAAGAAGCTTTCCAATTGTCTGTGTCTTAAGTGAAGGCTGGGCAAATTCTGTGTGAGATAGATTCTGGTCCCTCTTCCCCTCAGCGGCCGGTACAGTGACTATCTACCTGCAGAGGGCTTCCTACTGCCTCCCCCAGGGCCTGCCCAGGGGAACAGCTTCCGCCATACAGGCTTACAGTCCATCAGTGCCTATGAACAGCTGCAAGGAGAGCATGCCCTTCAAGGTTTCTATAAAGCAAGCAAGCTTCCTAAAGTGTGGGTGTTTGCTGGTCCCTAGTCCTGTCCTCCTACTCCATCAATGCCAACCTGGCCCCTCACCCTTCTCTCTCCCCCAGCATCAGCCCCACCACCTTGTTACCTCGGAGAGCTCCCCAGACAGTCTCAGAGAGGAGGAAACACTGCTCATCATTTATGGTCAGGGTGTCTGAAACGACATAAATGATCTCATTTGGTTAAGGTCTTCAACTCTCAGATGACAGAGCAGATGTTCTGTACAAAGCCTTGGATGAAATCCCCACAACATCACATTTTTTAAAAACCTTTTAAAGTAGAGACATTTCTGGGACAGGCCAGCTGCAGAGGGCCAGGCCGGGGGCCACAGTGGAAATGTGGTCAGCACAATGGCTCTGCAGACCCTGGAAGATGATGAGTGATGTGGGAAAACTGGGGGTGTCAAGCTGGAGCAGAGGCCTCAGCAAAGCATCACCCATCTGTGGGTCAGTCTTCCCAGACAAAAATGATGAACTCCTGGCAGCCTTTAGTTGAAAGTATAAAGTCTCCTACTGGCAAAGGAGGAAGAGGGATGCTTGGCAGGAGGTGAGGCAGTTGCCAGTACTTGAAGGTTCACTTTAGAGACTAACAAGTTTCTAAATACTGCTGCTCGGGGAAGACAGGAGGCCATTCTAAGACTAATGACTTGGCTTCAGCTCAGTGTTGTTGTCATTACTTGCCGCCAACTCACGGCGACCCCACATGTGCAGAGGAGAACTGCTCCATAGGGTTTCCAAGGCTGTGACCTCTCAGAACAGATTGTTACACCTGTATTCTGAAGTGTCTGTGGGTGGGTTTGAACCACCAGCCTCCTGAGTGAGAGAGTGTTTAGTTATTTGTACCACCCATGACTCAAAACACCTTCTCTCTCCAGTGGAGAATATCTTAGAGAAAACCAGCAAAGTGTTCAAATGCTAAAATGGAAATGGAATTGTACTCAGCCCACAAGACAGCCTGTGGGATGTTCCTCAGTCAACCTTCAGAGACTCATTAGAATTCTTCAACACTCATTTCTTAACTCTAAGCTCTTGGTGACCCTCAGTCCCCATAGTCATGGAAGCCTTCAAGCCTAGTATCAGCAACACAGGCCAGGCCATCTAGACCACCTAGTTCCAGACTGTGGTTGGCTCTTCTGTAACAGGGAACAAGGTGGTACTTACAATTCTCCACTGACTCCAAAGTAGGAAGATGGCTGCACCCGGGGGTAGCCACAAAGAGAACCAATGTGTTCTTCTCTGCCTGGTACTGTTTTCCTGCAAGGACAAAGAAACTCAGTGTGACTGAGATGCCATCAAAAGCAACAGGTAAAACAAGGCTCTTAGAAGGCTCCTGTCTCTAGTCCCTTCAGTTTACATGCCAGGTCTGTACAAAAGAGAAGGGACAGGACGTTTCCCCTTGACATGGGCCTGGTGTGTTCCTCTCTCTGGTTGTGCTTCCTTTGCCCCTCAACAACCCACCCAACCTGTGTGTGATCTAGGTGGCAGCGCTTCTATAGTCCCTATATAAGGAGGCTTTAAAAAATTCATAGGAAGAATTCTGTTATTTTTTTAATTCCATTTTCCCACGAACTTTTTAAAGCCCCCTCATGTTTCTGGCTCCCCTGGAGTACACGTAGCATAGGAGTTCACAGCCTCAAGAACTGTTTCTGCATTACAGGCGGTTCTGGAGCATTACTCCTCCAAGTGTCCTCCGTGGATTAGTGTCCTTCGTGGATTAGTGTCCTCTGTGGATTAGTTTGTATCTGGTGATACTGGTGACTAGAGATATGAAGCTTATGTAAACCAATTGTGGTGAGGTAAGCTCAGTATTATGACATTTCTTCATCATGAGGGGAACAAATGTACATTTTGGTTACATATCTCATTGCAGACTGGTACTTTAAGTAGGCATAGTTCCTGAGCACTCCAGACGCACAGGTCCCTAAAAGTCCAAGAGCTAATGGGAGCCAATGCAGCAGGAGACAGGAGAAGATCCCATCATGAGGAGCCTGAGATGACAATTCAGATGGTGCTCCAGAGAAGGTACATGGTCAGCCACCCCTACTGTGTCCCTCCCTCCTCTTCCCAAACACGTTCTCTATCTCAGGTAGCCTTCTGACCATCAGAAGACAGCAGCATGGACCAATATACTATCTGATATCATTTCCAGACCCCAGTCTATGGAGAAAAAACGTGCCCAAGCTAAAACACCAATGCAATGTTTCTTCTTGGTTCTTCTCTCTGACCCTCGGGGGTAAGGTCCTGACTTTACTGTCCCAAGCCTGAACTTCAAGGAGTACTCTCTGGAGCCACATATACATAGATCCCCACTGGCACCACAACATCCTTGATTTCCTATGGAACTAACTACAAAGTCAGAGATGGGATGGCCTAGCAGAAGGAAGCAGAGGCCATCCAGAACCAGATTGTAATTCCAAATGTTACCCATCTTTAGGCAGAAGAAATCCAAGAGTGCCAGCCATATCAAAAAAGCCTGTTCAAACCTGCTGAGAACATCACATCACATGGCTACATCTCAGCTCTCAGGTGTACCAAGAAGCAAAGTAACAAGGCGGCCTAGTCTACCATTAGGAACATCCCTGCTTTCCCAACAAGTACTCTGCAACCTCACACCAATGCCTGCAGAAAGGCTGCAGGGAGACGGGAACTGGTGACTAGTTTAGACTGAAGCCAACTCACAACTGCATTCTAAACCCTAAAATCTCAGACCCACAACATAAAAAGACAGCCAGGATCCCCGAACAGAGACCACTGTCTCAAAGTTAAAATGTGTTGTCTCATTCCAAGCTCCCCAAGTCATTTCTACAAACTCAATTATAATCCCAAACATCAAGGAAGACTTACACTAGGAGCAAGCTGAAGAAAATGATACAAGAACAAACACCTTCGTTAAATTAGATCCGACCCTCTGCCTCCTCGTCTACAGTCCCAACCACACACATCACAAAGCCCCAATGTCCCTGTGTGGAGAATTCATCTGTCAACCTATCCAGATGACCAGTGAAAGAAAGAGAGCAAAAGTCCTGTGATTTGGCATCAGCTCTCTGCAGAGGATGAAAAATCATCCACATGCAACTCCACAGTTACTGTGCTGAAGACAAATGAGAGGGACGATCAAAACACTAGGTTTATCAGAATAGTTAGTTGGAAGATGGAAATATACTTAAGATTTTTATATTTTCATTTTGTCAGAATACACCTGGGCTTCGTCCCAAAAGTCAATCGTCTTTTGGGGGGAGGGTTATAGATCCTTTGGCGAACTGATGACAATGAAAGACTCTTTTCTCCAGAATGATGGTCCTAATCTCAGGACCTTTTCCTCCACCCTGCCATTGGCCCATGGTGAGGCTCTGTCTGAAGCACTCTCATCAGGATTTGAGCTGACAGAGAAGCAAATACTGAGTCAGGCTATTGCTCAAACAAGCTACGAGAGGGAAGATCTGGGGGAGGCGGCAATGTCGGAGCTGGCAAAACAGGAGAGGTGCTGGGTCACTGAGAAGAACATAAACAGTCTCATCATTGTAGTTTTCCACCTCCAAGTTGCTACTGTGCTGAGCTCTGAAGAGTAGGAAATAGGCAGGGGACTGTACAGCTGCCTCCACACACACCCACACCCTGCATTGCAAACTGAGCCATGGGATCCACAGTACAGCAAACAGCCCCATTAGCCAGCTGCCTGATGGACACACTCACAATGGGCCCAGGTTGGACAGCAAGAAGTTCCGGAGGCTCAAGTGTTCAAGTGCACGGAAAACAGAACACGGGGTTGGGAAACCAGGAAAGGTTAGTTTGGGACCTGCTGCTGCCAAGCAGAGTGAATCTGGGTTGCCCACTTCTTTCCCGTAAACAACGCAGGGCAGGGCTAGATTCCTGCTATTCCTCTTCAGAGCTGATCCATACTTCACGACTCCACAAACAAATCTTATGTCCAGAGTCCCATTCCATGACCACAGCCTCCTCTCTCAGCAGTTCTCTCACCTTCCTGCTTTCATGGAAATTTGGTTTCAGTGAAAAGTTTATATATATATAATGGAGCTCTGGTAGCGTAGTGGTTACGAATCGGGCTGCGAGTCGCAAGGTCAGTGGTTTGAAATTACTAGCTGTTCCACAGGAGAAAGATGAGGCTTTCTGCTCCTGTAAAGATTTACAGCCTCGGAAATCCTATACAGGGTCACTATGAGTCAGGTAACGGCACATAACAACAGGAACAGCAGCAACAAAAATATATATATGAGGGGGCTTCAAAACATTTGTGGAATGCTATGCTCTTTTTTTGAAGCCCCCTTCGTATATATGAAGACCCCTTGTATACATAATCACTTATTATTATTTCAAAAGTAGTACAACTAACTACTTGAAACAATACAATCCAGTATGAAACCAAAAATGAAACCCACTGCTACTGAGTTTATTCTGACTCATTTGTTGGTCAGTGCTAATTGGTTCTGACTCATAGTGACCCTGATTGAGTCTGAACTGCCAATCTTGCGGTTCAGACCAATCTTGCAGTCCAGTGCTTATCCTACTGCACCACACCAGGACTCCATTCTGAGTCACAACGACCCAAAGTAGGATGACCACTCCTTAGGGATTCTGAGACTGTGTATCTTTATGGGAGCACACAGCCTCATCTTGCTCCTGAGGGGCGGCTGGTGGATTTGAACTGCTGGTCTGTGGTTAACAGCTGAATGCTTACACCACTGTGGCACCAGGACTCCTTTCAAACAGCAGTGTTTAAAATAACGCAAGTGTCGCTGGTACTTCTTCTCTGAAGAGAGAACCATAGTTCAGTTTCTTACTCTTGTAGCTCTTTTTGAGTATTGTTGTTGTTGTTGTTATGTGCCGTGGAGTCGGTTCCGACTAATAGCGACCCTGTACAGGGTTTCTGAGGCTGTAAATCTTTACGGGAGCAGAACGCCTCATCTTTCTCCCTCGGAACAGCTGGCAGTTTCGAACTGCTGACCCTGAGGTTCACAGCCCGATTCATAACCACTACGCTACCAGAGCTCCTTATTGCTTTATTCATTACAGACGGTCAGCACTGGACATGGATGCATGAGAACAAGGATCCTTTTGCTACCAAATTCCCACTGTTGAACTTCTCCAGACCCTAGCACTATGACCTTCCCATTTCCTGTTTCTCAGGCCTCTCCCAGCTTTGCTTCTTTCCCTGCTGGCCTAGATGTCATGATCAATCACCTCAAAGACATTCTAGCCAGTACTCTCAACCTGTCTTTTTCTTTGGTTGCAGCCAGTGGGCCAAGCGCTCACCCCTGGATCAACTGAACACCTGCTTTCTGTGTCCCAACCCTGGGCTACTGTGTCTTACTGGAGGGAAGGGTGTGATCATGTAATAGGAGATTGGGCCACTGGAAAATTCTTTCCTATCTCCACCATCACTTTTTTTCTGTTTTCTCCAATAGTTAGTTCAAACCTGTATCATTTCCCTCCATCACCACCTCCCTTACTCTCAGCAGCCAATCAGAAGAGGACTGCCATCTTTCCTGACATTGTCCTTTCTTCCCTGAGGCCGCCTTCTCCCTCTATCTCACCAGTGCTCTGGGACCTTCCTCAGGCTGCCCTAGTACCAATCTTCTCCAAAGTCTTCATATTATTTTTTTCTACCAACTTCCTCCCATCAATGTTTAAACACTTGCAAGTCTTCTTGACCTCAAATGCATGCCACCTCAGCCACTCTTTTCTTTCACATTCTGGTCACAAAGAAACTAGAGGAAATGTAGCCGAGAAGCTAGGAGCTGGATTCCATATTGCTTCTGGATTCCAGTCTTGGCTCCGCTACTTTGTAGCTACATGATTCTGGGCATGGTAAATAAGGGACTCTGAGCCACGGTTTCCTAAACCTACAAGATGGGGATCATATTATGTTAGTGCCTACCGTGTTGAGTTGTTGGAAAGATTAAATGGTTGAACGTATGTAGAGTGTTTAACACAGTGCCTGACACATGCTAAATGCTCAGAGTTGGTCTTCCTGAGCCTTCTTTTGGTGGCCCTTCCTTATGGCCTATCTACTCCTCAATCCACTATCATCCGGCTTCCTTTACCATTCCTCTGAAAACGAGTTCGCTACACTAAATTCAAGGGATCCTTTTTAATTCATAAGAAGCCCTGGTGGTACAGTAAGTTAAGCGTTGGGTTGCTACTGAAAGGTCAACAGTTCAAACTCACCAACCACCCCACAGGAGAAAGAGGAGGCAACCTGTTCCCATGTAAAGATTTATGGCCTTAGAAACCCT